CAATGTTCTTAAAGTCTTATAAAAATTGCAGACCAGTAGTTAGAGAGGATGCATTCTTTTTTTAACCCAAAAGCAGCCTTTTACAAATCTATGTGGCCTACTAGCATAGGATTTATAATATTGAAAATACTTATCTAACTTTTTATACTGTGAACAGTCCACCACATAGTATTCAAAGGACATTCTGTGTAGCCCTGGCTGTCCTGGAACTCTCTGTAGACCAGGTTGGCTAGAACTCACAGAAATCTGCCTGACTCTGCCTTCTGAATGCTGGGATTAAAGGTATGTGATACCACACTTGGCAGTTTTTTGTTGGATTTTATTTCTGAAAGAGAATAAGGAAAAAACAAGGATATTTGAAAGGGTTTTTTTCTTGGTGACTTATTTACTTATTTTGGGGTTTTTGTTTTGTTTTGTTGGTTTTGGGGTTTTTGTTGAAACAGGGTTTCTCTGTGTAGCTTTGTAGACCAGGCTGGCCTTGAACTCACAGAGATCTGCCTGTCTCTGTCTCCCAAGTGCTGGGATTAAAGGGGTGCACCACCACTGCCCAGCTGAGCATATGTAGTCTTAACCACTTAGCTGACTCTCCAGTCCTAAAGTATTATCTTCATGAAGTGAGCTGACTCAGTAGGTGAAAGCGCTTTCCCCAAGCCTGATGACCTGAGTTTGATCCCCAGGACCCACTTGGTAGAGGAGAGAATTGATTTCTTTTAAGTTCTATGACCTCCACAAATTGCACATGCCATTCCTCAATAACGGAACAAATTACTTCTAAAACTGGCATCATTTACTCATTAGGACATAAATATTACACCTACATGCATTTTAATCAGATAGCATGGATTTGTACTTAAATGTCAAGATGAACAAAATAAACTTTTCAAATCAAGGTGGAAGGGTTGGAGATGCAGCTCCATGGTAGATACTACATTTGTTTTAATCTGGTCTACTGTCCAAACTGCATCAAATTTCTAATCAATTTCCCTTCGAGTTTGGTACACCTGTCATCTTGGTGGCTAATAATTCAAACAGTGGAAGTACTACACAACCATCCATGCAGTCATAAACTGAGTTGTCATCTTTACACATGTTCGTGCTTCTGGTGACTAAAGCAGTTCAACAAACACGTGTTGGCTATAGTAAGAAGCAGCTAATTGTAAAACAGTGTCGGTGCCCGCCTTTATTCCCAGCATTCAGGAGGCAGACAGAAGCAAGCAGATCTCTGTGAGTTAAAAGCCAGCCTGGTCTACAGTGCAAGTTCCAGGACAGTCAGGGCTACTGTATAGAGAAACCTTGTCCCGAAAAACAAACAACAACAACGCAGTTTGTCATTCCACGAGGCCAGTGAAACAACTACAGACAACATGAAAATTTAAAACTTAAAAAAAAAAATACTTGGGACGGATCTCTGTGAGTTCGAGGACAGCCTGGTCTACAGAGCTAGTTCCAGGACAGTCTCCAAAACAATACAGAGAAACCCTGTCTCGAAAAACCAAAAAAAAAAAAAAAAAAAAAATACTTGGGAGCTGGAGAGATGGTTCAGAGGTTAAGAGCACTGACTGATCTTCCAGAGATCCTGAGTTCAATTCACAGCACCCACATGGTGGCTCACAACCACCTATAATAGGATCTGATGACCTCTTCTGGCCTGCAGGTATACATGCAGAGCATTCATATTCATAAAAAATATAAATACATCAGGTATTGGTGGCACACGCCTTCAATCCCAGCACTCCGGAGGCAGAGGCAGGTGGATCTCTGTAGGTCTGAGGCCAGCCCAGTCTACAGAGCAAGTTCCAGGATAGCCTCCAAAACAATACAGAGAAACCCTGTCTCAAAAAACCAAAAAAAAAAAAAAATATATATATATATATATATATACACACACAATAAAATCTTTTTTAAAAAGTTGAAATAACACCGGGCATTGGTGGCGCATGCCTTTAATCCCAGCACTCGGGAGGCAGAGGCAGGTGGATCTCTGTGAGTTCGAAGCCAGCCTGGTCTACAGAGCCAATTCCAGGACAGCCTCTAAAGCCACAGAGAAACCCTGTCTTGAAAAACCGAAAAAAAAAAAAAAAAGTTGAAATAACTAAGATTCTCATATACAAATACCAGTATGTATTAGGCTTTTTTTTTTCTATCATTGGTAAAAGTGTAAACTCTAGCTAGGAATCGTGGTACATTCCTTCAATTTTGCATGGGAGAATCTCTGTGAATTTGAGGCCATCTGTATATGGAGTTCCAGTGCAGTCAAGACTACACAGTGAGACCCTGTCTCAAAAGGTGGAAAAAACAAAATGGTAAACTCTTCTAACTATATTGGTGGGTTATTAAAACAAATTCTATGAGATACTTACAAAAAGCATTCCCTTAATTGTCTATCATTCAATACATTTTTCACACTAAAGCTCACTGGGTCTATTACATCACTTAACCTCTCTCAGAGAGCCTCAGTTTTTCACTAAATCAAAAAAATAAAAAATAAACCTTCAACAGTAAGATACACTTGAGTGGGGCTGGAGAGGCGGCTCAACAGTTAAGACGCTTGTTGTTCTATCAGAGACCAAGAGTTTGGAAACTCATGCCCACCTTTAACCTAAGGTTCAATAAATCCAATGCCCTCTTCTGGCCTCTGAGGGTACTACACACACCTACACATACATACATACATACATACATACATACATACATACATACATACACACACATACACACACACATACACACACACACACACAGAAGAAAAATGTAAGGTGAATCATTCTCAACCCTTCATTAAGATTACACTCTTTGTGAGTTCAGTTTTGGCTTGTCTAAGCCAATGGTTCTTAACCTTCCTAATGTTTTGTCCCTTCAACACAGCTCCTCATGTGTGGTGACCCCAACCATAACATTATTTTGTTGCTACTTTTCATAACTCTAATTTTACTAATGTTACGAATAATAATGTAAACATCTGTGTGTTCCATGGCCTTAGTTGACCTCTACAAAAGGGAAAGAGGTCATTTGACCCATAAAGAGCTCTTACTCATGGTCTATACATATTTTAATCTTTCTCTTCTTTTTGGTTTTACAAATGACAGTTAACTACAATATAAACCATAGGAATGGTGGACACCAAACCCAGGTCCTCTGCTCAGTAGCAAGTACTTTTAACCACTTTGCTCATCTCTCTGGTCCCTTAAATACTTTTTTTAAAGTTCTGCACAGCAGTGCTTTTCTATCAAGTTTAAAATCTAACAGACACCGATGTGAGTTCGAGGCCAGCCTGGTCTGCAGATCGAGTGCCAGGATAGGCTCCAATGCTACACACAGAAACCCTATAAAATCTAGCACTCCACTTAATGCTCTATTTAAATCCAATGCTCTGTAATTCAAACTATTTACACAATAATATTTACTCCATCCACTAGAACATTTTTTTCCAGATACCTCTTGTTCTAGGAGCAGTGTAAATGAACCAACTCCTTGAAGTCTGACAGCTGTGAAATTTTATCTATGAAATTTTTTTTGACCTAAGTTTTTTATTTGGGTTATTCTGTTTGAGACAGAATCTCCCTGTGTAACCTTGGCATGCTGGAATTTACTATTTAGACCAGACTGGCCTCAACTCACAGAGCTCCACCTGCCCCTGTCTCTGAGTTCTGGGATTATAAACGTGTACCATTGCATTCAGCTCTATGTAGGTTCTTAACTTCCTAGGCCTATTCCCCAACCTGTCAGGTCAAAAAGACTGAGTCCTATAAAAACCATTTTCTGATCAGCTCCCACAATCAGTTCTGTGACTGCACCCATTAAGCAAAATAGATTGGCTCAATTCTAAACAATTCCCTCAGGGGAAGCCCCTGGCAGAACAGAAAAAAAACAAAAAACAAAAAACAAAACAACTATCCTTTAAACTAGCCACTATCTACAGTCCATAAAATTAAACTAACTCTCAGGGACAAAAGGCTACATATGTGGATTACCTCTTCATCAGCCTTAAAATTTCGTGTGGGAAAACACGGGAATAAAAAGTAGCCTTCCTAAACTATAAAACCTTTCCCTCCATCCCAAGCAGTCTCCATTAAATTTCTCTAGTGAAGAGTCAAAAGCAAGTCAAAACAAACCATGAGCAGAGTTAGCGGCACTAGGACCACATCCCAGCTGTCTCTGGTCTCTCTAGTCTGTGGCTGCTGTTTCCCTTTCCTTTCCCCTCTCTCCCCTTACTCCGGGAGGAGTCTCACTGAGAAAGCCAATATTCACATCCTCGGACTTCTGGCAAGCAGGGACTGGGGCGGAAGGGGGACAGATCAGGGAAGGAAAAGGGGGGAATCGTTTCAGATCCACGGCTTCCCTTGCAAACAGCAACGTAAAGGGGAGCCTTGTGTCATCAGCCTATGGGGACGCTGGTGGGGGGACATCAACAAGATGTTCAGTGTGTGTGCTCTTCAGAGTCTCCGAGCAAGTTGATGCCCCGGAGCAGAAAAGTAAGAAAACCTATGCTTTTCCCTACTCCTGCCCCTAAGGGGCAGAAAATGGGGGTGGGGCGGAATATTATCCTGATCCTACTCGGGGTACAGACACAAATAGACCGGAGTTCCTTCGGTTATCCCTAGTTACAAAGGTGGCGAGTGTTAATGGAAGGGGGACACCCTAACTAATATTACCTACCTCCTTTCAAAAAGGGAGGAGTAAGAGAACGATTAAATCCAGATGGAGCGCCCCTGAAAGCGCCCCCAGGTCACTCATCCCCCAAGAGCAAGCGGAAGGGCTGGGATAAAGGGGATGGAGGGCTGGACATGGACAAGGCCCCACCCCCCCCGGTTTAGGAGGGAAGGAGAGTCCCGGCTAACCGCCGAATCCCCGGGCCGCCCCCTCGTGTCCCCCCTCCCCGGCCCTTCCACGGCCTGCCGAGCCCCCAGCAGCCCGCGAGGCAAGCAGATCCTTCCTCCCCCTCACCCACCGCGTCCCCACCCCCACCCGCTCCCACCTCCCGCCCGCCGCGGGCCCGTTACCTGCTCGTCGAAGCGGCTGACCACGGCCTGGACCCATTCCACCGGCCTGTGTGCGGCCATGTCCTCCCCGCGACCCGGGGGCGGCGGATGGCCGGGTGGGCCGGCGTCCGGGATCCGCCGGAGGGCGGGCGCTGAGGTGAAGGCAGCGGCAAGCCGAGCAGCTGAGGAGTGCGGGCAGCTAGCGTTCCCACGGGGGTGGGGACGGGGACCCGCGCGGTCCGCCGGGAGGGGGACAGGGGAAGGGGGCGTTGGCGAGGAGGCTGGGGGAAAGGGTGGGGAGGGGAACCCGGGGAGGGGAGGGCGCCTGTGGGTAGCTCTCCCCACTAGCGCCGTCTCCCCTCAGCCATCACAGTCCGAGACGCCGCCATGACACCCCACCGGAAGTGGGATCCTTTCCACGGCTCGGGGAGAGGGAGAGCGAGCAAGCTCGAGATTGAGAACGCGGCTGGGAAAGGGGGGGGGGCGAGAGGGAAGGGGCCTGCCGCGCATGCGCCCGCACCGGCCGGTTTCATTAATGAAAAAGCGAGTCCTGGAGGTGACGTCACCTAACTCCTCCGGGCCTGGAGGCGCGCGTCCCTCAGTGCCGCCGGTCTCCCCACATAGCCCGGCACCGGGCTCCGGCCGGGGAATCTGAGCCGACTCTGGAGCGTCAGCTGGTATCACCACCGCCTCCTCGGTCAGCCCTTCCCCCGCCGGCCTCCGGGCTTGGATTGCTCCTGGGGCTGGAAGTTAGGGTGTCCTGAGGCTAGGCTTTCTCTCCGCGAGCTGATCTCCGCCGCCGATCTCTTGGGAAGACTGTGATCACCACTTAAAAATACAAGGCACACACCGCCACGCAGTCGACGGAGTTTCTAAAGGCTGCTGGAAAATGGGAGGCTGAGAGAGATTCCGTGATTTTTTTTTTCTTTTAAGGTTACTTAAATTCCAAAGCAAGACCCTGTGGCGATCCAGACTCACCGCGCTGTAAAAGCCTTTACAGGTCTTAATGCACTTTCGTCGTCTCATTTCAACCCTTGCAGCAAACCTAACTAATGAATAGGGCACCGGAAGTTCCAGGATATACCCAAGATCAGAGCTAATAAATACCAGAATGGTTTGGCTCTAAGGGCAATCGACTTCTCCAGAAACAAGGGCCTTCCCAATGCCCAGTACCAGAGTTTAGAGGACTTACGTAGAATTGGCTGTGCTCTCTTACAAAAGGATACTTTCAAAAGGTAGTTTGCTCAAGACTAGCCTGTTATATACAAAGGGAGTTCCAGACTAATCAGAGCTTCACACAGTGAAACGCTACAATGGGAGGGGAGTTGTGTTGGTTGTTAATGGGGGTGCTCAATATCTGACATTGAATTTGAAATGACTTTTCTTCAGTGCACTTTACTTAGGTCAATGTTAAAATGTCCTCACAGGCAGGGTGTAGAGGTGCTCGCCTTTATTGAGGGAGGTGAATCTTCACGAGATCCAAGCCAACCAGGGAACCTAGTCTCAAAAACAAACAAAAGTGTGCATATACTCAGAGCACACACTGCAGTAATCAACCATTAGCCACACAGAAAGATACCAATTGAGTGATAAGATGAAACAAAACCGCAGTTTTCATTTCACCACAGAAAATCCACAAAGCCCATACACAAAGTGATGTATCTGTAAACGAAGTTTCAAGTCTGGGTAGGTTGGTGATCTTCCAAAATGCATATTAAATTAATGTTCCATTCGACAAAAACAAAAGGACAGAGATTGGCCGTTTGTATGATTCCTTCTTGAAAGACGAAACATGGATGCTAATTTCTTTAGATGATGTCAGAAATGATGACAGTGCTGAAAAGAAATGGATGAATATTAAATAGCCTCTTGCTTTCTCTATCTTGGACCCCTGCTAAAGCTCTTAATCATTGCCCCAAATGCTGTGCCAACATGTCTACTTCACTGCTAAACACTCAGCCCCACACCTTCCGTTCCTTTTCTCACTCTGCCTCTGAAAACCCTTCCTCTCCCGGGGGTTTTGTCTTCATCTTTGAAACTCTTAGCTGTGACTGAGCCCTGGGTTCCCTTCCCTCCATTGACATTCCAATGCTAAATGTCCTCTCCTTGTCCGATTTTTTCCCTGATTGTCTCTGTTCCTCTGTAACTAAGTGCTGGACTTTTACTCTTCTTTCTTTACTCAGACTCCAGGCAGTGGCTCATTAATTTATCTTGCTGTGCATGTGTACAGTACTCTTTCCTCCCCTATACCCCAAGCCCCTCATTGCAGATGGAGGTCTAGCCTTCACCCAACCCCAAGCCTCTCATTACAGATGGAAGTCTAGCCTTCACCCAGCCTCTTCTCTAATGAACTTAGTCAGTTCTTTTAAACCAATATCATGTATCTATTCTACACCTACATGTAGCCTGTTCTACACCATAAACTTTGTTAAGCAATGCATAGTAGCACAATAGGGAGTCTACACCAAATCCCCAGAGAAAGTGATGCATTGACTGGTTAACTAAGGAGCATCCCAACCCACCCCTACGCATGATGTCACTCAGCTCCAGACAAGTACTGCCTTTTAGGAATGTTAATCCCATGTTGCTAGAACTTTGAGTTAGTCAAGAGGAGCTAGAAATCCAAACTTACCTATAGATTCTTCTAATGTTTACATTGTGGCAGCCAATTCACATTTTTCAATGCTGTACAGCCAAAGTAAGTAAGTCTGAATTTAGTTTATGGAAACCAACTAGACTAGCTTCAATCTAGGGGGAAGACATGTTCTTCTGAGCAGAGCAGAATTTGGGTTGTATCCTAACTTGCTCTATTCTGCACTGTCAAAGGTGGGTAGTATTAGGGATTATATAAGTGTTCAGTACAATTTTAAATGTATTTCCCTCAATCATCCCCCCATTAGATAAAAAATTGCCAATTATTTTTTCAAGAGTCTTTAATTTTGGTTTGTGTGAGTGTTTTGCCTGCATGTTTAACTATCATGTGTATGCAGTGCCTGAGCGAGGCAGAAGAGGGTGTCAGATCCCCCGGAACTGGAGTTAACAGACAGCTGTGAGCCACTATGTGGATGCTGGGAATCAAACCAGAGTCCTCTGCAAGAGCAGCCAGTGCTCTTAACCACTGAGCCATCTCTCCAGTCCCCTCAATGATCTTGTTCAAAGTCCCAACGTATTTCCTCTATTCCACCATCTCCACTGGCATAACACCTTCCCCACTCACTTCCCCTGCACACCAAAGAACCATGGCTCTTCTCTGTTTTCCTGCTTCGGGGAGGGTTAGTGGCCAGTAACTCTTCTGGGACTCCCACTCCAAGGACTGCCCTCAGCTGAGAGGACCTTCTTCATGCAATATTACAGTACTTCTAGGGAAGTCTTTCCTGACTAGGTGTGGGTTCAGAGACTCTGTAGGCTCTCTGGGCTCTAGAGCTCCCCCATAGGACCAGATCCTAGGAAATTCACTGGCTGAAGCTTCTGCTATGATGACATTAAATTCAGCTAATATTTCTCCTCAATCTTACTCCCTCCATTATAACATGATGCTGACCCCAGGGGCACTAAGTCCCATGAGAGGAGTCTGAAGCAGTAAAGCTGAATTACCCTGTGACCAACTGTCAGTGAGGACCCCAGGGCCTTGCAGGCCTTGACATGTACAGACACACATGCATACAAATAACCTTTTCAGGAGGCTGAAATATAATACTAATGGAAGAATGCACCAGTACATGCAACCCAAACAGACTTTTTCAAAATGTGATGGAAATGGTAATTTAATGACAGGAATGGGGCACATACCTGTAACCCTATTCTTGGAAGATTAAGGTGGGATAGTGACAAGTTCAAGACCAGCCTGAACTAGTGAGAAACAGTCCCAGAACACATGCAGATGGAATTATGTAACTATGGATGCAGTAAATCTATACCATGGAGAAAAACAACAAAAAGTCATAGAGTGATTAATTACCAAAGGCTGAGGATGAAAGTCAAAGTGTCATCTTGGCAGCTTAAAAGAAGACATAGAAAGCAAAGTACAAGACCAGGGCTTAATTATAAGAGCAGTGGGACTCCAGAATGATTCTCAGCTCTGGCAAGTCGGCTAGGGCAAGGCCTGGGCTAGCAGCTGAGAAGGTGGGACCCGGACACCTGTGCCAGGGAATCTCTTTCCATGCACCTAAAACCCTTAAAAACCCCCATCACCTCAGGTCCCTGATGTCTGCATTAAAAGCTAGTGCCTCATCAGCTCTCAGCCATGGTTTATCCATCTTGCGTGACAAAACAAGCCCTTCTCAGGATCTACCAATACCTTTTTACCTGTACCAGACTAAGGCCAAGCCACAAAATAGCCCCACCAAGGAAATGTTAGAACCACTAACGGGGAAAAAGCAATGTGTATGTTGAAGGAGATAAAACCAGCAAGCGTGCATGCCTGTAGAAGCTAGGAGAGCTTGGAATTAGGTCCCCAGATTGTTTTGGGAAAGGAGAGAGGAAGAGAAAACTTAATACTAAACAAAGTAGAGTTTATTGATATATAAGTACATTCCTGTACTGTGGTATCTACATCCTGGCCAGGCCCCCAGGAAATAGTGCTAACGGGTTACTACCATGTATCTAGGAAGCTTAGAGAAAGCAATGGTCTGTACTGGGCAAAGTACAAAAATCAGAGCTGTCTGACAGACAATAGAATAAGAACTGTATGCAAATAAGCATGCACCTGTATTCCCAGTACTCAGACGTTCAGGCAAGAGGATCATGAGCTGCAGGTCAGCCTGGAAAACATCATCGTGAGTATGAGACCAGCTTAAGCTAAATACAAGTCTCAAAAAAACAAAACAAACAAAAAGATTCAGAGAAGCGAGATGCTGGAGTAGATATACAGTGTACCTCTCCAGCTGTTTGCGTTCTGCTTTCTATCATAAGCTAGTGAGAGGGGTGTTGCATTACTGAGAAGTTTGTGGCAATGGCTCTCTGTGGACAAGGTCTGCTGATAGACAATATTCTAGAGTTAGGAGCAGTAGGCTTCATAGATTTCTAGATTAAGTAGCATTGTTTCCGATGTCAATATTAGAATAGGCCTGACCCCCTAGTGAACATAGTTACTAGAACACTAGAAGGAATATAGGTGGGCAACCAATCAAGTCCAGTACATAATTTTTAAAACCCAGGGATAGAAGTCAGGAATGGAATTCAGGTGGCTGAAACAGGACTGACAGATGTCTGACAGAAACCCTGGGCTACATGGTGAGTTCCAGGTTAGATGTGGCTACAAAGCAAACAAAACAATGCAATCACCACCACCATGGGGAAGGGGTACAAAGAGAAATGAGAGACAGAGACCGATTCACTCTATTAGTCCTTCACTCCTTTTATCTAGGCTTGAAACAATTTCTCTTTGTGCCTATCCCTTGTACCCCACCTTACCACAAGCATGCCATAATAAATTTG